AGGCAACAACTTCGCCACGCACTAGTGGAGAAGTTGTAGCCTGAGTTAGAAAGGTCCAACTAGCACTCCGCTTAGAAGTAAAGCTGAACCCGCACTGTAATGGAATCGCTAGTTTCGTTGTAGTCTCCATCACAAACGAGCAATCACGGGCCAAGGGGAAAATTATAAGGGTAGTCAACGTCCCCTGAAAAATATTTCACGTCATAGCTCCCTCCGAGTTATTTCACTCCTATTTCGGGCCACATAAATGAACAGATCCGCAAACAGGTTTCTCCAATGCCCAGTAGCATGTCAGCAATCATTTCGTTTCGTAAACACCTTCCGGGTTAATTTTAGAAGCACCATCAACAAATAGACCCCGACTGGTTATTTGAAGGGGGAACAAAGTTGTCGTAATCACGGGACCCAAATGATCTGAAGGTGTTCAATGCTTACCGTCTGTAGTCCGCCTGCTGACATCGTTTTGAATGCAGACAAGATTCCTACGAATTCGTCAGAGGAAGCTTGTCTCCTTGGACCTGTAAAAAGAGATGTTTCTACTGATATACTCGCCCTATATTAGTGAAACAGGAACCCCCAGTAAGGAGGGGGAGGGCATGTGATGCAGCAGTTCATATCTACAGTAATCCTATTTTTGCAGTGGGAGGAAGTTCCGGTGCAGTTATAGGAGCGGAAATGAAATGGTTCGCGCACCCTGGAGACTTCCCTTCCTCTGCCTGCAAAAACTGGAATCTGTAGGCAGCACGAACGGTCGCATCACATGCCCCCCTTACTGGAGTAAACCCAAAGATGGCCCTGTTACTGACCATCCAAATTTCGGACTCCAACTAGGTGCTCAATCTTCTGTTCTTGTACTTGCACAGAAGGTGTATCTCGGACCATCGGCATTACACCAATGAGAGATTCCGATGGAAACGAGGATGCCAATTCTGGAAATATTAGATAAAATCGAAATATACCAACAAGTATCCAAAATTTGAGAGTACTTTAGGTACTGATTACTTACGGATGCCAAGTATGCATATCAGTACGGAAGCAGACCGCATTATCATTTTAGACCGCCGAGTGTTGGAGTGAAAATGCCGCCT